TTCATGCCGATCATGGGTTATATTGCCAACACTCCTGAGGCTGCCATGCTTGCAGCTGTTGGGGGAAAGACTTCCCTGATCACCATGGTGATGTACAAACAGTTCGGAGACCCATTCTGACATGAACCACAAACCATGTCCACCACTTTGGCTCAGCTCACAGCAGTGAAATTGAAGGTCCACCCTACAAACATCCAAGTCTTCTTTCACAAAGCACAGCACTTTCACCTCAGCAGAGTTAGTGACCCATTTTGGAGGGACATTCCACTTTCTTGTCCAAGCACTTTTATAACTCTGGAGCCCCTTCACCACCTGCACAAGGAATTTTGGGACCATGACATGAAGTGGTGCATAAATGTGGTTGGTGAAGCCAAAATTGACTTTTGCTTCTCAGTTTTACAGCCTACTGTGGGGTTCCATCATTTTAAAGGTGGTGTTGCTAAGCTGAAGCAGGTGACTGGACATGTGCACCATGATGTACAATGTTACATTGTTGGTGTTATTGCTGGAGCAGCCCCTCCCAAAAATATTACTGCTATTTATGTGCTCATGGACTTCTGATACTGAGTCCAAGCTTACTGCATTGATGACAACAATCTTTGTATAATATCTTCTGTACTGGATGAGTTTCATGTGCACAAGCAGTTGATACTTGATCATGGTGCATGATGTGGTAAGGGAAACAAGCCCATCAACAATTGGCACATCCCCAAGTTAGAACTCATGCAGAGCATTGTACCAAGTGTGAAGTGTGTTGGGGTCACCATCCAATGGACTGCTGATGTAACTGAACATGCCCATGTATTGGAGATCAAGACACCCACATCAGCTAGCAATAACAATAACTACAATCCTCAAATTTGCTGGTGCCTCAATCGTGCTGAAAAATGTAGGACATTTGAACTTGCAACATCATTATATGAATCAAAGACTCACTCCCATGGTCATGTGGAAGAAAAGTCCTTGGAGGTTGAGGATGGGAGTTCTGATGATGGCAACAGTGAGATCAGTGATTGTGAGGAGGTGAATCTAGTTTCCAAGATGCCAGGTCCCACACAGCCTGTCACCAATTACTTTGCCATCTCTGCATGCCTCAGGACCCAGGATCCAGACTCCATTCCCTTCCCCTTGCATAGTTTTATTGCAGATGGTACAGCAATCAACCTTTCCTACAACCCACCCTTGCAATGCATTAGTGTTGATGGTGCTGCTGAGAGGTTTGGACTACTTGACCTCCAAGCCACCCTTGTTGATTTTCTAAATTGTGAGAAGGTGTATGGACCAAGCTCTGTGCACACTATAAGCAGGCAATGTCGGGGATCAAGCTCTTCAACCCTGCCTTTTACTGACCTGCAGGTTTGGTACAAGATGCAGCTGCAGAACATGGCAATACATGATATCACGGACATCCTCCCTGCCCAGACTCTCTTCTGTTCTCCACCTTGCAAGACCTGGACCCTTGGCCACTATGATGCAGCTATCATCAATGTGGACCCCCATTTCAAATGGCCAGAGAGCAGCCTGAAAGGTTCATGGTCCACACTACTTTTCCATGTCACTCACAAGAGTATCTTAGGTCATGTTGTTGGCCAGCTCTGTCTCCTGATGTGCCCTTTTGGCAAGAGGGGGGTAAGATGGTTGTGGACAGACCATTTTTTGATCTACATACAATGTTTTGACATAGCAGCTGAAGATGTGACACAACTACATATCCTTAGGTGTGCAAAGAGAGCGAATGGCCAACATCTTGGTGATGTCATCCCGCTCAGTCAGGTCCAGGCATTTGCACATCTCATACCTTGCTTTGGGCAAACTGCAGATAATCGATTGATGGCATACAACTCCTTCAAGCATTCTACTGAATTCTTTCTCAACAAATACTTCAACAAAAATATGTACTTTGCCCTAAGTCATTTGGACTCTCCTCCATCTAGTCAACATACATGTTACCTTACCATATACCAGAGCTTATTACATGTTAATGTTGAAATGCATCAGTATTTTGAGTGGTGGCACCATTTTTGAATGTGTGACCCTACTTGTCAACAACCCTCAGAAATGTCCAAAGACTTGAACAAAAACAGATATCAAACAATAGATGGTACCTACAAGCTGATCAGTTCTCTCCCCCCACCCAAACACAGCCACATGGTTCATGTTATGGACAAGTTCACTGCTTCAGAACTTGAGGGCACCATCATCCATGAACCATGGATACAAGTTAGCTCTCCTCAGAGCCTTGGTTATGTTACAAATATTATCTTCAAGTCCTTCAGAGATACATTTACCTCCATAGCTCCCAGGTCCCTGATTGTCCCTCTGAAAACAATTCCCACATGTGTCCATAGCTATTCCACCTCCTTCAACCAGGGTGGCTTGTCAGAGGACAGCCTGGTCAGCCTATACAACAATGATAGAAAGTGCTGGAACTGGGAGCTTCATCCACCCCCAGGCTCTGATTCACCTCCCAAGCAACCTGGGCCACTTGCCTCAGAGCTGCCAGTAGAATCGGAAAAGCTCTGCTTTGAAAAGTAAGTTGCTCTGTTTCTCAATGCTATCAGGACTGCTGCCAAATCCATGATGCCCAGTCAATCCAGCAAACCCCAGCATCAATGGATGGCAGACTGGAGCAGAACCAGCTTGCAAGGTTCTACAGGTTATTCCCAAAAGCCCAACCTTATCCTTGTTGATAACACCCCAGTATCCCTTGACGAGATTACATGGTTAAGTCCCAAAGTCATCACTGAGTACTCAAAGGAGTCTTTCAAGCCAGCATCCCACCTTGGGAAGATGATGGACACTAAGGCATATCTAACCCTTGTCGACCAGCCCTGGAGGCACTATGTCCTTGGATTATCAATTACTGATAGTGAACTTCAACCTCACTTTTATGACCACTCTGGTGGTGCAATCTCACCCTCTATCAATATCCACACTGATGCAGAAGTCTTCATATACATTGTATGTGCTGTTGCATTCAGCTCCCACTCAACCCTTGGCTTTGATTTGACCATAAAGATATCCCCCCATCCTGCACACAGCTGCAAATGCACAGCACTTGTGATACCCCTCTCCCCTTTCCCCTCTCCTGCAATGCCTTCTCCTCACTTGGAGTCAGGCATCCTCCCCAGTGCAAACTCACTCCTGACTCTTGCATCACCTGAACACATCCCAGCAATTGGGAGGATCCAAGTAAACAAGACCTTCTACGAGGTGCTCAATGTATTATTCTTGAGCACAGGCTTTCTAGGAAGGGGTACTGCTTGTTACCTTGCATGCTACAATGGGGAATACTATGTCATCAAGGATTATTGGGTGGAGGAGTCGGAGCAGAGGACAGCCCTGCATGAAGTCAACATAATGAAGCTGGTCCACGACATTGACAGAGTTCCCAAGTTGCAACACTACTGGGTCATCGAGGTTGAGCTGGGCATTGTCAATAAAACTGAATGATATCGTGATGAGAAGTGGCAATCATGCATGAAGTCTCAGAGAACTCACATGTGATTGGCTATGAAGCCATGTGCAAGGCCAATGGTAACATTCAAGACAAAAAAGGAACTCGTTTCATGCATCCAAGATATTTTACAAAGTACATATCCTCTTCCACTTGTAAAATCAATACTAATTACTTTAACAGTCTAACAGCAGGCTCTCGAGAGGGGTGTCCTCCATTGAGATTGTAGCATCAACAATATGATGATCGAGGACTTTGCAAATGGGTTGTGCAGCTTTCTCCTCAACTGGGAATTTGCTGTATGGGTCACATTACAGGGGGAATATGACTTGGGTGGCACAGTAAGTACTACACAAAACATTTTGGAACTCAAAGCTGATAGTACACAAAGGGGACAGTCCCCTTCCTTTCAGTGAATATCCTTTGCCAACTCAAGGAAGCCATCACTAAAAGTGGAAAGACTAATGTCCCATCAATCTGGAAAAGTGCCTCTCTCACCTGCATATTCATCGATCACCCTACTACTGTACACCATACATTTGCAGATGATATCAAATCCCTGTTCTACATTTTCATCTGGATCCTCATCCTTTATGATGGGCCACTTGGCCACAAGCATCAAGATATCAGCCATGAAAAGACACTTCTTGGCTTGTGGAGTGAAAAGGTGGCTGAAGATCTCAAAATTGCCAGATGCACCAAGTTCACATTCCTTAATGACCCATCTGAATTGAGGCTGGATTCCAAGGTCTCGCAATATTTTCAAGATCTAATCCCTCTGGCTAATGAGTGGTGTGTATTGCTTGGGCAGTCCCTGCTGAGTGGAACTGCAGTGCTGTTCTCTGACATTATCTCCCTTTTTGATCATTTCTTGGCCAGCATGCCATACAAGAAACCACTAGAGATGACAAATGCATTCCAGCAGATCATTGCCCAGCACAAAGCACTTAATTCAAGCATGTGTCCAAGTCAGGAGAACGATATGGATGTTATGTCTTTGGCAATTATGTCTTCTAAACACCTTTGTGAAGAGGTAAGGAGCATGGATAACCCTCCTATACCCAATAAACGCTTCAAAGGCATGTAGTCTTAGCATGAATTTTATGTTTAGTTCACATTCTGTACGTTATGTGTAAAGTGTTTCAATTCATTTGCAGCAAGTAACCATCTCCACACATCATTTTGTTTTATGTCTTGCAATGAACCTGTCAATGTTTATATGGATTCACAAGATGTCTCCATCTTATACTGTTCTCTGTTTAACTGCTTGTACCTTCAGATGTCCACCCAATCTGGAACAATCCTGCCAAAAAAGAAGGCTAGCAAAAAAGCCAAACAATGACCAGAGGCTGATGGAAGCACTTGACCCACAAAAAACAAGTGTCTAGGAAGCCCACCCATTGATCTCGAAGAGTCTCAGTCTGTTGCCACAGCAGGACTCCATCATAGCAGAAGGGCAGGGGCAGGGGCAGGTGGAGGGGCCAAGCAATTGGAGTGGATTGGTACTGCCCTTGAAGGCCGAGCTACACAGCCATGAAAGTCAATGGATCTCCCCAACAATTCTGTTGTAAATCCTCTTGCACCTCCACCCACTCAGCAGAAAAAGGGTGGGGGCTGCAGTGCTGGCCAGAATGCAAAACTGAAGGTCAGTTCTAGTTATTTGCAAATATCAAGCTAACCACTTGCAAAGTCCAATGTTGCCCCACCACCCTATGCACCTCCCATTGTGAATGGTCCTAGCCCAGCTGATATGCCTCCAGTGAGTGTCTTTTCATACTGATATACAAGGTTCATTTCAGAATCCTGTCCCTCAGTCTTCAACAGCAGTAGCAACACCTGTCTTCCATCAGCACCCCACAGACTCCCATCACTTTGGTTTCAGTGTTCTGGCTCAACAGCCAGGTCATATTGTGCCTCCCAGGATGGAACCTGACCTTCAAGTGCTCAATAATCCTTATATTGCTGTGATTTGGGGAGACCAAGTTCCCAGTAATACATCTTGTCTGCCAACACCCCAGCCCAACTACCAGTCTCAGTTTATCCCCCACCAGCCACCTGCTACTGTCCCCAACTCTTGTATTGACCCCTCCCTTGATAGCTCACTCTCATTGAGACAAACTTCAGCAACCACTGATGTTCACCACAAGAGTTCAGAGAAGCTGTCATCAGAGGGCTCCTCAGAAGAGGAGTTGGAGTCCTCGAGTAATAACCCATCAGATGCAGAGGCTGGCGAGGTCTCTGGCAATGAGTTCAACAAAGATGAGGACAATGCATTTGGATGGGGTGCAATGAATCTTAGGCAATCAACTCATCCTGGTACATGTCAGAGGTTATTATGGTATTGGCTCAATGTTCTTTGTTAGGCTTCTCCCAAGAAACAATGACAAGCAATCCTATTCACAACAATTCCTTACCCCCTGACCACAAGTTTCAGTACTCATGCAACAAGGATGACAATGCAGCTCTGCGAAGCTTACAATCCAAGGACAAGGCTCAGCCAGAGGTACAAAAGTGCCATTCCTGCTAGCTTTATTTATTCAGATTGTTATATTAGGGTTCCCAAAGTATCTCAGCATGCCAGAGCCTCTCATAACTCCAAGAAAGCTAAGGATGAGGGCCCATTGCCTTCACAACTGAGATTTTACAAGGCAGTATGGAAGGACTGTCTTGAAGACACTAAGCGAGAATGCAGGGCTGCACATGCACTTTCTAACCCATTCTCATCGAAATCTCATGACCTCAACCTCTCCATAACAGAGGCACTTGTCACTGTTGTCATTGAGTGGAATCAATGTGGTGTGCAATTTGAAGATGGTGAGTAACAATATTTTTGCTTTATATGTGTCTCGTTATCCTAACTTTATAGGTTACTGGCCTGACCACAAGCAAGATATGGCATGCCTCATGAGTAGTCCTGTCTTTTGGTTACAGCTACTGACATACTGCCAGTAGCTCCTTGGTGATATATTTTGAAGGATGCTGTAGGTATCCTCAGTAGTGCAACAAGCTACTGATGTATTAGACCAATCTGTAGGTATCCACAGGATATCAGTAAGTATAATACTGGTAGTGAAAGTGAGCTTACCCTCAGTAGTGCAACAAGCTACTGAGGGAACAGTGAATAAACTACTGTAAAATGTGCGCTCTAAGGTGATTATGTAAGCACCCAAACATCGCACCAAAGTGAGCAGAACACAGGGGAGAATATATCTCCAACAATATATCTACCTGGTGTTCAGAATTGAAGTTGGTTACACTGGCAACCATGCCATCCATGTTCAACCTTATCCCTCCTTCTGATGTTGCACCATGGGTTCATGTACAATGGATAGAGACCACTGCCACAAAGCTCCTTGACAACTCACTTTTCCTGCAAGACAGTTTTGATGAGAATGTACATTCATGTGGTTTGTTGTCTGCACTACTAACAGCCCTGATAAACCAGGAATTTTGCTCACCCCACCCTCAAGGAAGCTGTCATACAATTCTACTATATTGGGACCTATTGAATCATGGATTAAGTGTCCTGAGTCCTTCAACAATTCAGTTCCCCTTTCCTGTCTGGCTCTCGTTGCAGCTGCAGTGAGTTATTTTACACCCCAAGTTGCTGCAACTCAAACTTTTCCCACAGTATCATTGTGTGTTGGATGGATTTGCGAAGAATGGCACAGGAAAGACAATGCCTCAATTCTCCAGCAAGGCTTACAATTCCATTTTCCATGGCATGATGGAGGTGCTGAATGACATCCTTCGTAATCCCTATCATGGCACAAGGTTGCATGATCAGCTTTCTCAGTGGGCAAAGGAAGGAAGGATGGTAAGTACTGGGGTGGCTGACATGCTTGTGCTGACTCCTTGTATCAGGGCTGCACTGCAAGAGGTTGATTTGAATGTAGAGAGGTACCAGCACATTCAGGCAGTCCTTGATTGATTTCATAATACCTAGTCCTGTCGTACCTGTCATTACATGTAGTATGCAATTGATGCCAATGCTCCTGTTCCTGTCATACCTGCTGTGAACTGTTCCTAGTTGTGGAGTGATCACATGTTTGCAAAGTAAACATTGAGATGGGGAGTACTGGACAACACCCTAAGGAGAATACAGTCTGGCCAGTTTTGTACAGTGATATCTAAGCATGAAAGTTCCATAGCAATCCATAGTAAGTAAGATACTGGACAAAGTTCCATGACAATGTGACCATTCCATAGTAACAGGCAACTAGCCATAGCAAAAAGTGTTGTTGGGTGCATCTGTCCAGCCTGGACCTAGCTAGGGGACTCTGTGTATTATGGAGCACTGTGGAGAGCTCCACAGCTCAAAGTGATTTACTGAGGTGTCATAGCAGAAACAAGCATAGTGCAAGTGATGCCAGTCAGCAGACATCCAATCAAACCTGCCATGAAGTCACTCACATCCTGTCATGATTTATACAAGCACAGTGCAAGTGAGATCAGTCAGTGGATATCCAGTTAAACATGCCATGAAACACCTCACAGCCTGCCATGCCACAATGATGCATGCCATAAATGCAATCTGTCAGTGACCATTCTGACAATCCTGCCATGCCATCACTTACCAACTGTCATACCACACCCAGACATAATGCAAGTCACACCAGTCAGTACACCTCCACTTTCATCTGCCATGAAGTCACTGACTGTCTATATCACAAGATATGCACTGTGCATGTCAGTTCACAATATGCAGATAACCATGCCATGAAATCCCATACTTCCTGTTATGCCACCAACATGACATGGAGGATCCAAATGAGGTCAGTCAACCTTCAGCCAACCTTACATGGAATCACCCACAACCTGTCAGGTCAAAAAAATGCAAGGCATGTGCACCACCAGTCAGTAGACAATATAGCTGTCCCAGTTGTAAAATTACTCATGAACTTTTATGCCAAGGATTTGTACAGAACACATGAGGATATACATTGAATTCAGTAACTACTGTGGCATTACAAACAGACACTCACATCATACTTGGGAAACCAACTGAGCAGAAAAGATTCAAAAACTTTTATGTCATATCTTTCCCCTCCCTCAATTACCCTTTTGATCATTCCCCTCACCACCCTTCAGAATATCAGAATTTGTGATGAGCTCACACTGCTGGCTTACCAGTTTACAGCATATTCAATACATAATCCAATGCTTGACTGCTGGGTTGATAGAAGTAACCTCTGTAGGCCTTCCTCATTCAATGCAGATGCTGTGCACTGGATCAAAGTAGTGCAATCTGCACTCTCATTATGCATCTCTGTTGAGAATTCTTGCATCAAGTATAACCATCTGCCACAAATGCAGTACTTACTTGTCAGTGGGAGATACATCTTTGGTGGGAATTTGCACTTGTCCAGTATCTGTTTGATGTGTGTCTGCCACTTTTCTAATAACAGGGATTCCCTTTCTGTGGCCCTTTCCTCTGCTTCCTCCATCTCCAACCCTTCATCCAGAAGTTCCTCAATGGCAGCAAAATTCAATGCATCTGCCTTTGCTAGCAGCACTACCACTGGGACTATGAAGTTCCTGATCAGTGACAGCCACATTTCCAGAAGTGGACATACCATGTCCTGTGTCACACTCATTGAAGAACTTCTGTTCAGCTGCAGTGACTGTCCTGTGGTAGTCAGTCATGGGGATACAATACCTATGTATACCTGATGGTTACCTGAGTCAATAACCATCCCCAAGGCAATTCTTACCAAATTGCATGAATATGCTTCTGCAGTGTCCTTGCAGCTGCATGGTCCATAACAAACTTCTTCATCTCCTCAAACTGCTCAGCAGATCCTGCCTCAAACCCTAAAGAGTCATGGAATACAGAACCTGGGTTGCTCTTGAATACTAGCTCATGTTCAATGTTATGGTAACCATGCTAGAGGTAATCAGCTGTAACTTTAATTGCTGTAATCTGAGATGGTGTCTTACCCCTAGAGTGCCTTGCACAACATCATCATCAATCTGCAAATTGTCAGACAAGTGTCTAGAACTCCACACCAACATACCTTGTTTCCATATCTATCAAAAGTATCAGGTTTGTCTACAGAGTTGCAGACCCTCTGGAGGATGGTTGTTTTGCCAGCATTTCCTCTTCCAATGACCAAAACTTGAAATTTCTTAATACTTTCCATGTATTTCTTGGCCTTTTGAGGATCCATATGAAATGTAACAGGTGAAGGAGTTGTTTCTATTCCATGACATTAAGATCATCAACATCCACCAAATAACAGTAGTGTCAAGTTCATGTGGTCTGGGTTGAGGCTGAACCAGAGACTGAAGTGGGTGCAAGGCCAAGGGATTGGGATCAGGAGGAAAGACAAAGATACAAAGGTGTGGGCTGATTGGACTTAGTGACTGAGGACACAGTGCTATTCCCTTGCATGGGTCACAGTCTGAGTCCAAGGCTGAGGTGGGGTTATCAGAGTAACTTAGTTGATTTCAGACTGAAGAGTACAGGTTGAGTATCTAAGAGTTTATATACTAGAGACAAACTATAGTATGGAGATCAGTAATGCCAGTCTCACAAAGATTGCTAAGATGATTTGTAAGACTAGTATTAGTAAGGTATGACTAAGGTGACAGAGACCAGGACAGGGCAAACTGGGGACAAGACCAGGCAGGGTTTAACCAAAGTGGCAAGCACTGCAAAGCAGTGTTCACCATGCTAGAACATCTGGGGATAAGTGACTGGCAAGGCTGAGGCCAGACTGAATGAATGCAAGGCCAAGTCCAGCTGGGGTCAAGACACAGTTATGACAGTATCCCCCTCTTAGGGGTCAAACCCATGAGACCCCTGCAAGAGTGGTAGGCTGAGTCCAAACTTTGGCTGAGTTCAAAAAATTGATACTTGTGGCCTGCTTAAGTCCTTTGCATCTTTCTTCTGCATCCCATCTCATTATGTTCAACTCAAGACTGATTGTTGCTGCCAATAACAACAACAAGGGCTGTGTCATTGTCAACTGGACCCAAGCACCCAACAATGAAATTAGGTATGACACCAACAATGAGGAAGAAGTGATGAAAGCCAAGTTGAAGGAAAGGAAGAGATGAAAGGCAGCTGAGCAAGTCCAGCAGGAAGAACCAGCTCAGCTTGAGGCCAAGAGGGTGGAGAGGGAGAGGGCTGAGGCTGAGGAGAGGACAGCACATGAAGAGGAGGAGAGATGTGAGGCCAAGCACAAATGCAAGGCTGAGGCCAAGAAAGGTGATGAAACTGGGGCCAGTGGTAGTGAGGCCACTGAGGTGAAGAAGGTGGTCATGGACCCCAGGTGAGTCCCTTTCCAATCTTGTGTGTACCCCTCTTGAAGACTTTTTCAGTTGTACCTGCTGTGCCTGGGCCAAAGCTGTCTGCAAGTTCATCATAGACAATAACAAGAAGCATGTCATCTGTGTGTGTGATGCAACCAATCAAAAGGCAAGTGTCACTGGCCTGGGGATGGGAAGGATGCTGAGGCCAGTCCTAAGGCCACTGGGAAGGTCAATAAGGGGAAGAAGCAGAAGGCCAATGAGGAGAATGCTGAGGCCAGGCCCAGCAAACAGAAGTGGGCAAAGATGAGTGCAAGTACTCAGGCTTGGAAGACAAGCTCAAGTGCCTTATTGACATGGCAGGGCTGATTGCCAACAATTTGGCCAGCCTGTTCAAGCTCCATGAGACCATGGTTGAAAATTCAGGTCACATTGCCAATGCACTTGAGTCCCTGCTCAATGAGTCATATGGCTTCAGGATGGTGGTGTCCCCTTTGGACTCAGGCTCATCTGAGCTTGACTCTGACAAGTTGTGCAAGGAAGCAGAGTGGCTGCAGGCTGAAGGTGAGGAAGAGGAAGCCAAGGGGGAAGATGAAAACATGGCCAAAGACAAGTAGTCATTGTAGTGTAGCAGTCTTGTTTTCCCTTCTGCCAATGCCAGGGGTCCAATCTTGGACTTGTATAGTAAAGTGAGAAGA